CTTCCCTTCTGCTTTTATTTTGAAGAACTGTGTCTCATTAACTCCTCCTACCTTATCCTGTGTAAAACTCCGGCTATTAACCTGCTGTTGCGGATTGGTCAGGTCAAACTGGAATTTATTCTGGATAACCTGATCTTCGATTTCAACTCCTTGCATCCCACACCCTTCTCCTATGAAGTCAATCCAGCCCTGAAACCCCTGAACACTGAGGACCCTGCGAAACCATATCGGCACAAGCCTGGGAGCGTCATTTCCGTGGAGGTAAGTCTACAACCAGCTCAAAATCACAATAAACTTCACACAAACCTACTTCCTACTGAGGGCCTGGGACTATTCTGATACCCTGGCAGTGCCATAGCTATTAATGGCCTATCACTGGCAAAGATAAGAAGGGCAGTCCCTGCTTTTAGCAGCCTGCAGCCTAAATGAGATGCAGTATGACACATGCTGAGACATCACCCAGCAGCTGGGGAAGGAGACCAACTCAAAAGAGCCCTGGGTTATGTGCATAACTTGCTAGCTCCATGCACTATTGCTAGAGCATTCTACGGGGTTTGAGGAAAGCAATTAGAAATAAAACAGCATTACAGAGCACATGGGAAAGAGGATACAAAGACAGTAATCAAAAGCAATTTGAAGTTATGCAGTATAGAAAATTGATAGGAAAGCTAGAGACATCAGGGAAGAATCCATGACTGGTGAGGCAAAGCACAATGCAAGGCTTTTCAATATAATAGGTACACAATATCCTAGCAATGTTGTAAGTCTTTCAGTAGAGTTGATAGGGATTGCATAATTGTTAATAATGGTGCTATCACTGGACTAATGGGAGCCTTGGATGTACAAAGAGGAGTAAGTACAGAGAAGAGCCACAACAATTATTATGGGGCTAGAGAAAATAGATTGCAGTGAGTGACTTAGAGCTCTACTTGTTTATCAGAAAGAAGCTGGTGAGGTGATACGACTAATAAAGGGTTCCTAGTCAAGAAAGGCAGAACCACCACCAATGGCTAGAAGTGAAGCCAGACCCATTTCCATTAGAAATTAGGTAACATTTTAGGAGGATGTCCTGTAATGATGGGTGAGATTATCTAGCAAAGATCCCAGCTAGTCCTGCATCCTACTGACAGACCTGTTACTTACGCCAAAGATCTGCCAATCTGGTTTGTTCATTGAGTGCTTGCTGTAGTTCTGCAGGTAGGGGAGATAGGATTTACTGCTGAGGTGTCCTCACAGGTATCTGGCTCCGTTTGATGATGATCACCAGAAGGCTTCTTGTGTGTGTCTTCAGTGATGTGTGCAGTGTCGACTTGTGCATTTAGTCTCCACAGCAGACCCCAAGAGAGCCCCCAAAGACCACAAACCAGATAAGGACCAAAGGTGACAGGCAGGTTTATTGTAGAGCGAGGTACAATAACAGTTGTCAGTCGACTCTACTGAACCACTACGCCCGTGTACTTGCCACAGTGGAACGACTCAGTCAGTAGGAAATTTCCACTGCCCCCTAGGTCATACAAAAACTGTCCTCACCAACACACCACTTTATATACAGGTACGACAAGTCACACCTCACTGCTGACGTGTCAGGTTGCCACCCTCTGATGTTGTCAGGTTACCACTCTCTGACGCTACTTAGATACCGCCCATCACCCTGCACCTTGTGGTTTGATTAGATCATCTCTATCCCTCATTCTGTCATTTTAGACCCTTTCCTGAACCAGAGTCTGTTTCTGTAAGCAGTGAGTACCAAGGTCTTTTTTTAATGAGCTAGTGATACCATGTGCTTTTTACTTCTGCCCAGTACCAATTACTGTTCTGCACCTGGGCCTATTACCAATGAGTGTTTTGCACACTCAGCCCTGCTCGTGCCAAGTTCTGTGAGCTGGGGCCTGCCTCTTGCTCACAGCTTAGCGAACAGCACCGCTGACCTTGCCCCTCAGCACCGTTCTTCAGTGCAGAGGGGTTCTTCTCGGCACCACACAGAGGTCTGGTGCCATCCCTCAGAGAGCAGACTCTCATTGCTGCTCTTCAGAGCGTGCGTCTTCGTCTTAGCGCTGACCTGCGACGTGGTATCCTGGCGCTGCTCCCGGTTTCAGCACCAGTCCTTGTTTCACAGTGGGCCTGTTGCTCACAGTTGCCTCAGTCATCCACCCACTGTCCAGTGTCAGAAGCACAGCCAGGCGTGGCTCCACCATGTCCGTCCCATTTAGGCTCTCCCTTGCCTTCCTGGAGGGAGCCTCAGTGGCTTCAGACTGATCAACACCCATGGGCCCTTGCTCACCCTGAGACCTAGGTGCTCAGCAGTGTCCACCTCAGTGCAACTCTGGGCACCCTAGGCATTCCACCAGGCTCAGAGCATGTTGCCCACTGGCTCCATCCCTTCCCAGTCCAACGTCCCTACAGCGATGACCAGTTGCCCTCTGCCTCCAGACCAGGAACTGCCTGCGTCACCTCCTCCTGAGGACCAGCCACGTACCCCACCACAACAGGACCAATCGGAGGGCACACAGTCTGTGGGGTCTCCCCCACTGGCTTCCTCGAGTTCCACCCCTGATGAAGCAGTAGCCAACACTCAGGGGGTATTGCAGGACCTCCTCCATAAGGAGGGTGCTAGCCTTAACCTCCCAGTGGTGGAGGTGGTGGTTAAGAACATAAGAATGGCCATAACGGGTCAGACTAAAGGTCCATCTAGCCCAGTATCCTGTCTGCTGACAGTGGCCAATACCAGATACCCCAGAGGGAAGGAACACAACGTGTAATCCACACGTGGTCCCTCTCCTGTCATCCATTTCCAGACAGGGGCTAAGGACACCATTCCTACCCATCCTGGCTATTAGCCATTGATGGACCTAACCTCCATGAATCTATCTAGCTCTTTTTTGAACCCTGTTAAAGTCCTAGGCTACGTCTAGACTACAGAGTTTTTTCGAAAAAAGTGACCTTTTTTTGAAAAAAACTTCACCTGCATCTAGACTGCCACCACATTCTTTCGAAATTAAATCGAAAGAATGTGGTGGTTTTTTTTACTTCATTTTATGAGGAAGAATGCCTTTTTTCTAAAGAGCTCTTTCGAATAAAGTCCTTCTTGGGTGCTCTCTTCCGAAAAAGCGGATTGCTTTTTTGAAAAAAGTTGTAGCTGACTAAACGCTCTCTTTCATAAGACGCTTTTTTTAATTCTTGCGAAAAAGCTTATTTCGAAAGAAGTGTGTAGTCTAGACATACCCTTAGTCTTCATAACATCCTTTGGCAAGTCGTTCCAGAGGTTGACTGTGCGCTGAGTGAAGAAAAACTTTTGTTTGTCTGTTTGTTTGTTTTAAACCTGCTGCCTATTGTGATTGCTGAGGCCTCCTTCTGGGTGCCCCTGCCAGTTGTTAAGACTATACTGGTGTCAGCCAAAATGAGCTGGTGGAGCCCTGCCTCCACTCCCCCACCTGCCAATGAGATGGAATGGAAGTACTTTGTTCCTGTTAAAGGATCTGAATACCTTTTCACCCACCCCACCGTGCTTGTTGGTTATGGAGGCAGTTAATGAAAAGGAGCATCAGGCTTACCAAGCCCCAGTGCCCAACTTTAAGGATGCTAAAGTCATGACTTGTTTGGCCATAGGTCTGCTCCACGGGGGAGGAAGGGTTGGTTATCAAGATAGCAAACCACAAGGTTATCTTGAGCCATTATGCATATAGCTCATAGCCCTCCCTCCCATAGTTCAAGGACTCTCTGTCCCAGGAATCTAGGGCTGAGTTTGATGCTCTGGTCTTGGATGGCAAGGCAGTTTCTTGGACTTGCCTTTAAGCCTCCCTGAACATGGGGACTTGGTGGCTCATGTCTTAGCCTCGGGCATCACTATGCATTCATTACCTGGCTACAACCATTTGGCCTTTCTCCTGAGGGCCAGCAGACTATACAGGACCTTCCTTTTGATGGGCTTGGCCTGTTTGCCGAACCTTAAGGACTCCAGGAATACTATGAAGTCCTTTGGCTCACATATTTCTATCACACAGTGCAAGCCCTTCAACCCTCCACAGCAGAGGCCTTTCTCCTCTCATCCTCAGTAGAACTACTCTTGCAAGCAAGCGTGGTATTTCTGTCACAAGCCATCTGGGGCATACTGGCACCAATGAGGGCCAGTCACGGCTCCTCCAAACAATGTTTTTGAAGGTGCGCCCAAGGACTGCATCATGAAGCTACCAGATCATGCGCTTCTCAGCTGTTTGTCACATTTACCTCATGCTTGGACGTCCATCACTTCAGAGCACTGGGTCCTTTGGACAGTGGAAGTGGGCTACTCTATCCCATTCTGTTCCCTACCACCTCTCCTGCCGGTCCCTCTTCAGAGACCCCTCTCACGAGCATCTTCTACTTCACAGGCGGGCGGGGGGCACATGCTCCAGGATTTGGGTACAGTGGAAGAGGTTCTTTGGGATTTCAGGGGCAAGGGCTTTTACTCCTGTTACTTCCTTGTTCCCTAAGCAGACGGGGAATTTTGACCTATCCTCAACCTTCGGGAGCGCAGCAAGTTTGTGATCAGCCACAAATTGTGGATGATCACGCTGGGCTCCATCATTCCCTCACTGGATCCAGGGGATTGGTAAGCTGCCCTGGATTTAAAGGGCGCTTATTTTCATATTGCTGTCAAAAAGTCCCACAGGGTATGTCTACACTAGCCCCCTAGTTTGAACTAGGGTGGCTAATGTAGGCATTCAAACTTGCAAATGAAGCCCGGGATTTAAATATCCCGGACTTCATTTGCATGTTCCCGGGCGGGCGTCATTTTTAAATCCCCTTAGTTCAAACTGACTGCCTGCGGCTACACACGGCAGTCAGAAGTTAATCCGAACTAAGTCCTTAGTTCAGATTAATTGTTACTCCTCCTGCAATGAGTGTAACAGTTAATCGGAACTAAGGACTTAGTTCGGATTAACTTCTGACTGCCGCGTGTAGCCGCGGGCAGTTAGTTCGGACTAGGGAGATTTAAAAACGGCGCCCGCCCGGGAACATGCAAATGAAGACTGGGATATTTAAATCCCGGGCTTCATTTGCAAGTTGGAATGCCTCCATTAGCCAGCCTAGTTCGAACTAGGGGGCTAGTGTAGACAGACCCACAGACAGTATCTATGGTTCCTGGTGGGACAGTCGCACTATCAGTTAATGGCCTTCCCCTTTGGACTCTTCACAGTACCCAGAATGTTTACCAAGGGCCCAGTAGTGGTGAGAGCCTTTCTTGGGCATTGTGGGGTTCGGGTCTATCCTTACCTGGTTGACTGGCTTCTAAAGGTCAGTCCTTTCATCAGGTGGAGATTCACATCACCCTACCAGGGCCACACTCAACAGGCCGGGCCTGCTGCTCAACCCCGGTAATTTGACCCTTATTCCCACACAAAAGATGGAGTTTATCAGAGCTGTGCTTGACTCCACCAGAGCTCGGGTGTTCTTACTGGACCACCGCTTCACCTCCCTGAACAAGCTACTACAGTCTCTTTCTGGCTTTCCTGTCACCGTGCCCCCATGTGCCTCAGGCTTCTGGGTCACATGGTGGGCTTGCACATATGTAATGCCATTTGCCAGGCTCCACCAGCGGCCGCACCAGTCTTGGCTGACAATGGTGTTTCTCCTGGGGCAGAATAGTGTAGACACGTTGCTCATGGTGCCTCACCACGTCGCTCAGGCCCGTGGCTAGTGGCTTGATCCCTGATTGATACTGGTTGGTTTTCCATTCCATGACTCAGCCCACAATGTCCCTGGTCATGGACGCATCTGCTCTGGGCAGGGGTGCTTACCTTTGGGATCTCACCACTCAAGTGATGTGGTCAGAGGAGGAGTTGCCCCCTCTATATCAATGTATGCGAACCCCGGGAAGTCTGCCTTGTGTGTCTGGCATTCCTCCCTCACCTTCGGATACTGGTTGGTTTTCCATTCCATGACTCAGCCCACAATGTCCCTGGTCATGGACGCATCTGCTCTGGGCAGGGGTGCTTACCTTTGGGATCTCACCACTCAAGTGATGTGGTCAGAGGAGGAGTTGCCCCCTCTATATCAATGTATGCGAACCCCGGGAAGTCTGCCTTGTGTGTCTGGCATTCCTCCCTCACCTTCGGGATCGGTGGGTGGTGTCACGATGAACAACTCGACAGCCATGTGCCATCAAACAGGTCACCCTCCTTGCACTGAAGCCCTTCGTCTGTGGCACTTGTGCGTAGACCACTCTATTCACCTTACATTCCAGGGGTTCAAAATCAGCTGGCAGACTGCCTTAGCCAGTGCTTCCTTGTTCAGCAGCAGTCGCTTCGACTGGATGTCCTTCACGCTGTGTCCCATGTGTGGGGATTTCCCCAGATAGACCTCTTTGCCACCCAGCCCAAATGCCACAGTTCTGCTCAGTCTGGGGCCTCAGTCTGCCGGGATCCCTAGCAGACACATTCCTGATCCCCTGGCAACCCAGCTTGCAGTATGCCTTCCCCCTCGTCCCTCTGCTCCTCAGGCCCCACAGGGACAGGGTGAATTTCATTCTGATACTAGCATGACTAGGCCGGGGTAACTGGTACCTTCAGTTCCTACCTGTCAGGGTGGTCAAACACTGGAATAAATTGCCCAGGGAGGTTGTGGAATCCCCATCTCTGGGGATATTTAAGAGTAGGTTAGATAAATGTCTATCAGGGATGGTCTAGTCAGTGCTGGGTCCTGCCATGAGGACAGGGGACTGGACTCGATGACCTCTCGAGGTCCCTTCCAGTCCTAGTGTTCTGTGATACTACTCTGCCTTTCATGGAAGGTGACATTTCTCCTCCCCATTACCTCTGCCAGACTGACGTTGGAACTCCACGCTCCCATGTCGGACCCTCTGTGTACTGTGTTCCTTAAGGACAAAGTTCAGCTTCACGCTCACTCTGCTTTTCTCCCAAAAGTGATCTCTTCCTTCTACAAGGGCCAGGACATTTTCCTCTTGGTTTTCTATCCCAAACATCACCAAAGCCCATGAGAGCCACAGCTGTACTCTCTGGATATCAGAGGAGCTCTTGCATTCTCCATTGACAGGACTAAGCCTTTTCAGAAATCCTCACATCTGTTCATTGCAGTGGTGGACCAGATGAAGGGTCTGCCTGTTTTGTCATAGAGCATCTGCTCCATGATGAGGTGCATCAACACGTGTTATGCCCTGGCCATGGTGTCCCCACCACTGTTCATGGGGGTGCACTGCACAAGCCTCCTCAGCCACTTTTCTGGCACATGTTCCTCTCCAGGAAACCTGCAGGGTTGCAACGTGGTCCTGAGTGCATATCTTCACGTCATACGCTGCCATCGTGCCACGGTCCAAACAGGACCCGGCTTTGGTACTGCGGTTCTCAAGTCAGCCCTGCACTCGGACTCCTCCTCCTCCTCCAGGTAAGGCTTGTGAATCCGCTCACTGGACTCGGTGGGAGCACGTGCTGGAAGAAGAAAACACGGCGACGCCCCTTTGGAACGGTTGTTCATTGAGCTGTGTTGCTCCTGTCTGCCCCTTGCTGGCTCCTGCGACAGCAGGGGAGGAGGATGGGCAAGAAGGAAGCAGCTAGGGAAAAACCTTCCGGCAGCCACCTCAGTTGAAATAGACACGAGTAACAATTTCTGAGAACACCAGTTGCAAAGGTGAGTGGCCTGTTTTCCCCAGAGGCTCCCGTCCAGGGAATGGCTATCCATGCACAGGGCTTGCTGCTGCTTGCTCTCAGATGGCAAGTGTCCTTCCGGCTGAGATTGAGCAGGAGCTAAGATCTCTCGCTATGCCTCGTTGGCCTGGGTTATTGTGTGCTGTCCGTGGGCTTTGCCTCCCCCAGGGGCCCTTCACTGATACCCGTTGGTACCTGTGTTCCAGGGGGAGAATCTGGACCTGGCCATTTCCAAGGAAGAAGTGGTGGCCATGATTGGGGAAGGGGTCTGTGCTGTAAAAACCCTGACGAGGAATCATCTGTACTGTGACCCCCCACCCGAGCAGCCAGTTCCACGGCACCAAACCCAGCGGGAGGGCACCGACTCGCTCCCTGAGTTTACAGTAAGAGCTCAGCTACGCTGCACAGACACTGAAGGGGGGAATCTGCAAAGCAACACAACCCCACAGCAATGCATCTGAGCCTGGGTTAGCTGACAGCACTCACTCTACAGGCCTAAAAATAGCAGGACATTCCCGCTTGGGCTCCAAGACCCTTCCCCGGGCTCCGAGACCCTTCTCCCAATCTTTCCCCAGGCTCCGAGACCTTTCTCCCAATCTTCCTCGAGCTCCGAGACCTTTCTCCCAATCTTCCTCGAGCTCCGAGACCTTTCTCCCAATCTTCCTCGAGCTCCGAGACCTTTCTCCCAATCTTCCTCGAGCTCCGAGACCTTTCTCCCAATCTTCCTCGAGCTCCGAGACCTTTCTCCCAATCTTCCTCGAGCTCCGAGACCTTTCTCCCAATCTTCCTCGAGCTCCGAGACCTTTCTCCCAATCTTCCTCGAGCTCCGAGACCTTTCTCCCAATCTTCCTCGAGCTCCGAGACCTTTCTCCCAATCTTCCTCGAGCTCCGAGACCTTTCTCCCAATCTTCCTCGAGCTCCGAGACCTTTCTCCCAATCTTCCTCGAGCTCCGAGACCTTTCTCCCAATCTTCCTCGAGCTCCGAGACCTTTCTCCCAATCTTCCTCGAGCTCCGAGACCTTTCTCCCAATCTTCCTCGAGCTCCGAGACCTTTCTCCCAATCTTCCTCGAGCTCCGAGACCTTTCTCCCAATCTTCCTCGAGCTCCGAGACCTTTCTCCCAATCTTCCTCGAGCTCCGAGACCTTTCTCCCAATCTTCCTCGAGCTCCGAGACCTTTCTCCCAATCTTCCTCGAGCTCCGAGACCTTTCTCCCAATCTTCCCCCGAGCTCCAAGACCTTTCTCCCAATCTTCCCCAGGCTCTGAGACCCTTCTCCCGGCCCTTCCCCGGATTCCGAGACCTTTGTCCCGACCTTTCCCCGGGCTCTGAGACCCTTCTCCCAGCCCTTCCCCCGGCTCCGAGACCTTTGTCCCGACCTTTCCCCGGGCTCTGAGACCCTTCCCCCTACCATTCCCTGGGCTCCGAGACCTTTCTCCCAATCTTCCCCCGAGCTCCGAGACCTTTCTCCCAATCTTCCCCCGAGCTCCGAGACCTTTCTCCCAATCTTCCCCCGAGCTCCGAGACCTTTCTCCCAATCTTCCCCCGAGCTCCGAGACCTTTCTCCCAATCTTCCCCCGAGCTCCGAGACCTTTCTCCCAATCTTCCCCCGAGCTCCGAGACCTTTCTCCCAATCTTCCCCCGAGCTCCGAGACCTTTCTCCCAATCTTCCCCCGAGCTCCGAGACCTTTCTCCCAATCTTCCCCCGAGCTCCGAGACCTTTCTCCCAATCTTCCCCCGAGCTCCGAGACCTTTCTCCCAATCTTCCCCCGAGCTCCGAGACCTTTCTCCCAATCTTCCCCCGAGCTCCGAGACCTTTCTCCCAATCTTCCCCGGATTCCGAGACCTTTGTCCCGACCTTTCCCCGGGCTCCGAGACCTTTGTCCCGACCTTTCCCCGGGCTCTGAGACCCTTCTCACCAGTCTTCTCCGGGCTCTGAGACCTTTCCTCTTCCCAAGGACTCAAGACCCTTTTCCCACCCCTTCCTGGGCTCTGAGGCCCCTCCCTGGGTATCAGCACTGTTATGTTTGCCCCATAGTGTGAGCGACAGTCAGCTGAGGCTGTGCTCTAAGGCTTGCCCCTGCAGGGCTTTGCACTGTGGGTGCAGGGGTGGGGGCTGGAGGTAGGGAGGAGACAGGCACTGGTGGGGAGGGAGAGAAGAGGCAGAATCACAGATGGGGAGGAGGAGATGGAGGTGTGGACAACAATGTGGGAGGGGGAGACGGAGGTGCCGGTGGGGAGAGGGGATAGGGGAGACAGATGCGCCGGCAGGGAGGGGGGAGAGGGGAGAGGAGACACCGGCCGGGAGAGGGCCATGCAGTCAGGCATTCCCCTTGGAGCCCGTGACTCAGTTGTCAGGATGAGAGGTCTGACACGTTGCTCTTGCCTGGGCTTGTGTTTCTTCTGCAGGTGCAGATGGGGAATTTGAACTTCCTGCTGGGCAGAGTGCAGTACGACACTGAGAGCCAGCTCACCTTCCCCCTGGAGGCTCAGATTGGCTTGGGGGTTGGAGCCTCCCTTGTGGCTCTGATTGTCCTGTTCATTGTCTTCGTGTACAGGTGTGAGGGGCTGGGGTGTCTGTGCTGCAGCCTGGGGGCGGGGGGAGGGGCTGCTCTCTCTCTAGCAAGTGTGTGCCAGGGCCCATGCTGAAGCCTGTGCCATTGCCTCGTTGCTGGGATTTTAGCAAGCTGCCAGGTTACAGTTGGCATGGGCAAACACACCTGAGACTGCCATGGGGCATAGCTGCCAGGATGGTCTGGGATCTTTGGGCCACCCGGGCACAGTCGACAGGAGTGTTCAATGCACACTGAGGCCCCTACATTGGAAGCTCATGGTAGCCCCTCCACTTTCCTTACTGTGGGTGAGATTCAGCAGCCTTCCCGTTGGCCTGGGGAGGGCGCAGATTTGGCCTTGGTGCCTGAGCTCTCACCAGAAAGGCCACTTACCTTGGAAATTCAGTGTTTACAAGTAAACCCAGATAAATCTTCCAGCGTGGGCTGAGGGCGGCATTAACCCTTGTGCAAACCGGCCCTTGCTCTCTGGTTTCTCCATGCCCTCTTGGGGGATGTCGCTACCACAGACCCTCCCTTGCCACCCTCACCAGTTCCACTGCGAGAGCTTCCTGGTGAGCTGGAAGGAGAAGCCGAGCTCTAAGCTCATTTCTGCACAAAATGCTTTGACTGGGCTGGGGGGATGGGGAGCTGCCAGTCCATGGGCCAGATCCCACCTGCAGCAAGTCTGTGCTGGAGTCTGGAAGCTCTGAGCCTTGGGTGCCCCCTCCCCCCGCCAGGCTGGAGCAGTGCGCACCAGCTTGTGGTGAGCAGGGGCGCACTGCTTGCTGTCCTTGCCTGCAGGCTCTGTCCCCGCAGCCTCCATTGGCCAGGAACGACAGCCAGCTAGGACAGTGCATGGAGCCACCTGCCACCTTTCCCCCCCACCAGCCACTTCCAGGGGTGCGCAGGGCCAGAGCAGGCAGGGAGTTTGCCATAGCCCCGTGCCACAAGCTGGGGGCCTCCTGAGGTGAGTGCTCCGTGCCCAATGCCCCCCAGCCATGAGCCATCTCCCAGAGCCCTCTCCTGCATCCTTACTCCCTCATCCCCTGCCTTAGCTCTTAGTCCAAACTCCTACATCCCAACCCTCTGCCCCAGCCCTGAGCCTCGTCCCCCACTCAGACTCCCTCCCAGCGCCTGCACTCTGCATCCCAAACCTTCTGACCCAGGATAGAACCCTCTCCTGCACCCTGACACCCTCCTAGAGCCTGCACTCCCAGTCCCACCCCATAGCCTAAATCCCTTCCTACATCGCAACCCTCTGCCCCAGCTCTGAACTGCTCAACACCCTAACTCCTGCCCAGACCCCACTCCCACACCCCAACCCTCTGCCCCAGCTCTGAACTGCTCAACACCCTAACTCCTGCCCAGACCCCACTCCCACACCCCAACCCTCTGCCCCAGCTCTGAACTGCTCAACACCCTAACTCCTGCCCAGACCCCACTCCCACACCCCAACCCTCTGCCCCAGCTCTGAACTGCTCAACACCCTAACTCCTGCCCAGACCCCACTCCCACACCCCAACCCTCTGCCCCAGCTCTGAACTGCTCAACACCCTAACTCCTGCCCAGACCCCACTCCCACACCCCAACCCTCTGCCCCAGCTCTGAACTGCTCAACACCCTGACTCCTGCCCAGACCCCACTCCCACACCCCAACCCTCTGCTCCAGCCTAGATCTCTTTCTTCCTCAGGCCTGATTTTTTTGTGGGGGTCAGTGGCCCCTGATATGTTCCATACCCCTAATCATATATATAGTAGCCCAATGTCTGAGTCTGTAACGCTGAAATGCTGGCTGTTCCCTCAGGGTGGCGCTGTTGCCCGAGTCATGTCCTTCGCCTCTCGCCGTGGCTCTTGGCTGACTCCTGCGCCACTCAGCCGGGCTGCCACGTGGGAGCAAACAGCGCAAGCGGCCATTTGGGCTCCATGCTCCCCATGCAACACCCCCGTGCTGCATGGGGAGCGTGGTCCCCAAACAGCCACTTGTGCCGCTTGCTCCCCACAATGGCCCGGCTGAGTGGTGCAGAAGACAGCTGAGCGCCGTGGCAGGAGGCGAAGGGGGGTGGGGCAGTGACATACACGGCCAGGGGACGGGGCCTGGACAAGCATGCATCCCTGACGGAGACAGAGGAGAGCGGAGAGAGAGTGAGAGGCAGGAGAGGGAGAAGAGAGAGACAGAGAGAGAGGCAGGAGGCGGAGGAGAGCTGAGAGAGAGGGGGAGGCAGTAGGAGACCTAGACTTTAGTAAGGCATTTGATACAGTCTCGCATGATATTCTTATTGATAAACTAGGCAAATATAACTTAGATAGGGCCACGATAAGGTGGGTGCATAATTGGCTGGATAACCGTAGTCAGAGAGTTGTTGTTAACGGTTCTAAATCCTGCTGGAAAGGGATAACAAGTGGAGTTCCTCAAGGGTCTGTTTTGGGACCCGTACTGTTCAATATCTTCATCAATGATGTAGATATTGGGATAGAGAGTACGCTTATTAAGTTTGCAGATGATACCAAACTGGGTGGGATTGCAACTTCTTTGGAGGATAGGGACATAATTCAAAACGACCTTAGCAAGTTAGAGAAATGGTCAGAGGTAAACAGGATGAGGTTTAATAAAGAGAAATGCAAAGTGCTCCACTTAGGAAGGAACAATCAGTTCCATACATACAAGATGGGAAGCGACTATCTAAGAAGGAGCATAGCGGAAAGGGATCTAGGGGTCATAGTGGACCACAAGTTGAATATGAGTCAACAGTGTGATGCTGTTGCAAAAAAAGCAAATATGATTCTAGGTTGTATCAACAGGTGTGTTGTAAGCAAAACTCGTGAAGTCATTCTGCCGCTCTACTCTGCACTAGTTAGGCCTCAGCTGGAGTACTGTGTCCAGTTCTGGACGCCACATTTCAAGAAAGATGTGGAGAAATTGGAAAGGGTACAGAGAAGAGCAACAAGAATGATTAAAGGTCTAGAGAACATGACCTATGAAGCCAGGCTTCATGAACTGGGCTTGTTTAGTTTGGAAAAAAGAAGATTAAGGGGGGACATGATAGCGGTTTTCAAATATCTAAAAGGGTGTCACAAGGAGGAAGGAGAAAATTTGTTCCTCTTGGTTTCTGAGGACAGGACAAGGAGTAATGGGCTTAAAGTGCAGCAGGGGAGGTTTAGATTGGACATTAGGAAAAAATTCCTAACTGTCAGGGTGGTCAAATATTGGAATAAATTGCCAAGGGAGGTGGTGGAATCTCCCTCTCTGGAGATATTTAAGAACAGGTTAGATAGACATCTGTCAGGGATGGTGTAGACAGAGCTTGATCCTGCCTTGAGGGCGGGGGGCTGGACTCGATGACCTCTCGAGGTCCCTTCCAGTCCTATTATTCTATGATTCTATGATTAATAAATGGCTAGTCTAGAATGATTGAGTTGTATGGAAGCCCCCAGTGATGGTCTCAGTATAAGACGTAGCACAGAGCAGGTGATCGTGTAAGCTGGTCTAGGAAAGGCAGTTCCAGGGTAGGATACTGTCGTTAGCAAGTCGGTCTGGAGCTGCCTGAAATCATGAGCTGGAAGTTTGTTCCTCTCTGAGGAGCAAGGATGAACTTGAGGCCTCCATGGGGAGAGGCTCGTCCGTTCTGAAGAAGACGGGCCCCTCACACATAACTTGGGATCTGGCCCACTCAGCCCTCCCTCCATTCTTTATGTGCCTGCGGAAGCCCTTCCTTTTCCCAGCTCAGGGACTGGAAGCCAAACTTACAGCCAGCCTGATGCAAATCCCATCTGCAGAGAGTCAGCCGGTGGTCTCCAGCTCTGCTTCCCATTCTAGGAGGAAGAGCAAGCAGGCTCTGAGGGATTATAAGAAAGTTCAAATCCAGCTGGAAAATCTGGAAACAAGTGTCCGGGACAGGTGCAAAAAGGAGTTCACGGGTAAGAGAACTTTCCTCCCCAGCCCTGCGAACAGAGGAGTTGGATCGCCACCTCCGACTCAGCCCTCTCTCCTAGGCCCTATGGTCCTTGCCTCTGTGTGAACAATCAAGCAGCCCCCATGAGTTACAACCTAGTTCTGCTCGGCTCCCCACACGCCATTGTCACTGGGGAGGCCCTTGTGTGGGGAAGAGTTTGGCCCCCGCTTGTCTCTCCAGTTCTTCATCTGGAACATCACATTCTAGAGAAGGGAATCTCTGGTGTTCCCCTGACCCACAGTCGTTAGAGAAGTGACTACTGTGGTCTCGATTTAGCAGTGGAAAGCTGTGAGAAACATGGAAGTCACGGGGCTGTACCGATTGTGTAATGCTCTGTCTCTGAGTTGGATACCACCTACTAATATTGAGCCTGGCTAAACACCAGGCAGCCTTTCACAGTGCCGGTTTGCTTGGCAGAGCTGCTTCTCCTTTTTTAAACTCCGAAGATGGCCACCAGCCGTAAACAAGAATAACACCCCAGCAGACCTTCTAGTCCCTGCCTGGAAGCCAGGGTTGGAGAGCTCCCTTCCAGAGCATTTGCCAGTGCCCTGCATGCTCCGCTTTTAAATGTCCCAGGTGATGGCTTCTACACATTCCACTGGGAGAGGATTCCACAGGATGCAGCATCTCATTGACGTTTAACTCGTCTGTTTCCTCTGTCAGTTGCATCCCATTAGCCCTAGCTACTGCCCAGCTCCCAGCCCTGTCTGTGTTTGTTGCTCTGGGACCCAATCTTCTTCTGCTCTAACTCTGTAACACAGAAGCCCCCTTTGCTTTCAGACCTGATGACAGAGATGATGGATCTTACCAGTGACCTCGTTGGCACCGGAATCCCCTTCCTGGATTACAGATCCTACGCAGAACGCATTTTCTTCCCAGGACACCGGGAGTCACCTCTGCGGAGGGGCCTGGACATGCCTGAGTGTCGTCGGCAAACCATGGAGCAGGGCCTGGTGCAGCTGTCCAATCTCCTCAATAGTAAACTCTTCCTTACCAAGGTAACCCACCTTCCGTAGCTCCTGCATCACTGCACAGGCAGGTGTTGCCAGGAGAGACAAAAGTGCCTCCTGATGAAAAGCAAGAGAGTGGGACACCTGGAAGTGTCCTGTCTACAGCCCCCTCCTGGGAAAGTCCATAGCTGTCTTACTCTGTTTGTAACACACTAGAGCATTCACTCCTCTTTGACTCTCTCCCTGCAGTTCATCCACACTCTAGAAATCCAGCGTACATTCTCTCCAAGGGACCGGGCCTATGTGGCATCCCTGCTCACTGTCTCCTTGCACGGGAAGCTGGAGTACTTCACTGACATCCTAAAGACTCTCTTGAATGACCTCATTGAGCAGTACGTGGCCAAGAACCCCAAGCTGATGTTGCGGCGGTGAGTAAATGATTCAGTAGCTGGTCCCTGAACAGAAGCTTTCCTGGCTGTCCTACAGCTCCCTGGTGTCTCAGTGGTAACAGGGAGACTGCATGCTGTGCATCAGATAGAAAATCAGCCAGTGTCCAGACATGAAGTGCGACCCAAGAGGAGGCAACAGAAATTTGCTTATTGACTGCTGAGTCATTTCACACAAAAAGCAGCCGGAAATGTCCTTTTCTCCTTGGCTACGTCTACACTGGCATGATTTTCTGGAAATGCTTTTAACGGAAAAGGTTTTCCGTTAAAAGTATTTCCGGAAAAGCGCGTCTAGATTGGCAGGGCGCTTTTCCGGAAAAGCACTTTTTCTGGAAAAGCGTCCGTGGCCAATCTAGACACACTTTTCTGCAAAAAAGCCCCAGTCACCATTTTTGCAATCGGGGCATTCCAGAACAGTTTTCCGGAAAAAGACTTTTGCCCGAATGGAAGCAGCATAGTTTTTCCGGAAAAGCACTGATGATTTTACTTTAGATCGTCAGTGCTTTTCTGGAAATTCAAGCGGCCAGTGTAGACAGCTGGCAAGTTTTTCCGGAAAAGCGGCAGATTTTCTGGAATAACTTGCCAGTCTAGACACAGCCCTTATGATTATATGTGCGTCTGGCACTGAGTGAATTGTGGGAGATCAGCAGGGATGTGGGTCTGTGTGTTATACTGTGGGGGGTATGGGAATGCAGGTCTGTCTGCCTTGGGGGGGAGGAGCTGGGGTGTGGGTGTGATACTGTGTTGTACCGGGGGCAGGGAGCTGGGGCTGTGGATGTGATATCGGAGGAGGAGCTGGGGTGTTGGTGTGATACTATGTTCTATAATGTCTGGCGGCTCTGGGTTTAGGAGTGTTTAGAATATTGTGTGAGGCAGGGACTGGGGTCAGGGCTTGCAGAAAGCTATTTCGCCCTCGGGTGAGGGAGGAGGTGAGCAGGGAGCCATCGCGCGGTTGTAGGGCTGGTCTCTTCATTGCCTGCCAGGTTGTGGAGCAGGTGCTGTTGGTGTTGTAGAGTGGCTCTGTCCTTGCAGGGGGCAGGTTTCTCCCAGTATTCAGCACTGCTCTGCTCCCAACAACTATTTCAGGCAGCATGGTTAGGCCACACTGAGCCCTTTCTAGGCCTGTCCCCTCTGCAGTGAGTGGGGGGCATGATTGGTACTTGGCAAGTGATCCAACCCTTTTATTTTTACATCATTGCCCTGGAAGCAGGGGGCATGGACCCCTGGCTGCCCCCTGCGGAGATCTGACCCATTGCAGGGACCTGGAGATACAGCCCAGTGCTGGTGCTTTTTGGTTGGGTCCATGGGGCAACCTGCTCAGCTGAAATGCTCACACATCAGATGTGCAGTGCCCCCTTCAGGCAAAGCCCTGACATTTGTACTCACAGAGCGGGGTCCTCAAGTGCATGTTTCCTGGAAAGCAAGTCCTGACCCTAATCATCACCCCGCTCCCTGCTCTGGCACCTCCGCGGAGAGCGCGCAATAAGTGGCCTGGGCTTCTCTTTCAGGACAGAAACCGTGGTGGAGAAGCTGCTCACCAACTGGATGTCCATCTGTCTGTACACGTTTGTAAGGGTAAGAGTTGGCTAGGCCTGGGAAGGGGGGAGCCAAGAGAAATGGAGACTCAGAGTGCTGCACCCCTGCTGCCTGCCCAGGTGCCTCCGGGTTCATTCCCCTAGGAGCAGGAAAGAAGGGCTGGATTGCTCAGTGCATAGAGTGCGCAGCACCCAGCACTTCCTCAAGCCAGCAGCCCAGACATGGCTCCAGCGGACCCAACTGTCCAGGCTGAGGATCTCCCACTCATTATTGGGATGAGCTGCACAAGCCCCCGGGCAGGAGGAAAGTGGGGTGAGCATGTAGACCTCACACAAAGGCTCCATGAGTGAAGCTGCTGGCCCTAACCCTCAGCAGCCAGTGAGCAGATGCCACGTGGAGGCCTGCTAACGGGACTCTGACAGTGAAGCGAGGGGATTGGGGGTAGGGAGGCTGCCAGATCACTGCTTTGGGGACAGAGCAGCCTACAAAAGAAGGGCCTGGACTATGGGTAAAGGCTGGCCAGGGGCCTGATCCTCCACGCGCCGTGAATGGAGCTGTCCCTGTTGGAGCTGCTGAGGCTCTAGAGGCTGAGAGCCTTGAGCACATCCCAAGGGGAGGTAGCACTTCGTCTATTAGCCAGAGGGTGCTGAGATACTCCTTGCCCGAGGACCTGGTGCGAGGTCTGAATGGGAGAACCTGGAGAGCCCTGGGGAACTAGGGACCATAACCCAGGAGCTAGGCTTGTGGATGGTCCAGCAAGGTCATCCCCGGCTCTGGGGACTGCCCTGTCAGGCTCCCAGTGAACCGAGCAACAGGCTTCTTTTCCAGCCCAGGAGCCTGGGGCCTCACTCAGTGCCTTGGTCACCTGGCCTGTTTTCCTGGGGTGGGTGAACCTTCCGGCTGGGATTCTTTGGCTTGCTCTGTTGAGCGGTGCCTCTGGCTATGCTCCTGGGCGCAAAGGGCTCCATGTGGCAGCCAGCGTGAAAGTGGCTTTCCCCCAAAGCTGATGCACTTTCTGTCTGCCAGGACTCTGTTGGGGAGCCGCGAGGAATCAAGCACCAGGTGGATAAGGGACCAGTGGACGGGGTGACAGGGAAAGCCAAATACACCCTGAATGATAACCGCCTGCTGCGAGAGGACTTGGAGTACCGGAGTCTGGTGAGAGCTCCCTTCTGCACAGCACCTTGTGCCTTCGCTTCCCTCCTTGTTGTGTGCCAATGCAACCCCATCTCCTGTCCCCCGGTTCTCAGCCTGTGCACCGGGGCCCCCCGGGAGTCTGCAGCCTATGGCTAAGTCGCAGACTGTACAGTATTCGGCTCATCTGCAGGGAATCAAATTCCAACGGGGTCCCACCTCTAGTCAGCATTGGTGAGGGCTCTGCAAATGGGAAAAGGTTGAGAACTACGGTCCTAATCCACCCTGAGTCCAGACTAAAGCCAGCCACTCGGTAGTGGCCTGCCACTGGAAGCCATGGCTTCACACCAGGGTCTGTCCTCAGTGCCATTTAGAGCTGCTCTTCTGCTGGTGGCCTGAAGAGGCCAGGAACTGGGAGAGCAGAGTGGTCCTTTGGCCAGATCTCCTCCTCACTGGCTACATCCACTGCCAAGTCATGGGAGGAGGAAGCAGGGCCGTAGGAGTGGCTGTACCAGCTCTTTGAGACCTGAGGAGGCCCCCAACATAGGCACCATCAGGAGGCTGCTGAGCCAGTTACACAGCTCGTCATGCCACTGACAGAAGCAGGGCCGAGAGCGTGGCTCATACGCTCCTGGTGTTCCCTTTCCCAGTGTTCTGGAATGTGGAAGTGGACAGGGTGGGGGGCTCATCACCACGCCAGCTGCACCAGTTTCTTTTCTTTCCCCAGACGTTGAATGCTGTGACTCAGACAGAAGCTGCTGTGGGGGAGGCAGAGGATTCCCAGGGTGTGTCTGTGAAAGTGCTAGACTGTGATACCATCACCCAGGTGAAGGAGAAAACCCTGGATCAGCTCTATAAAGGAACACCCTATTGTCATCGGCCAGACCCAGACTCCTTGGACCTCGGTGAGCACGATTCACTGGCCCCAAGACGCAGTGATGAGCTTGAAGATGGAGTTGCCCCTGTTATGCTTAAATGAAGCACACAAGATCTTTTCTAGGGGAAAAGGCAGGACGCCGCATTTATTGAGAATACAACAGTTGCATATGCTTGTCAATCACTCACACACACAAACACCACACACACAGTCCTGCCTGACGATGTCATAGTTACCAGTCCAGATTCTGTATCAATCTATCAGAGGGGTAGCCGTGTTAGTCTGAATCTGCAAAAGCGACGAGGAGTCCTGTGGCACCTTATAGACTAACTGAAGTGTAGGAGCATAAGCTTTCGTGGGCAAAGACCCACTTCGTCAGATAAGGTCTGATGGATGATAGTCATGCTGCACAATGCACGGGTGGAAGCTGATCAGACATTACCAAGAGGAGAACCTGGTCAGAACAGAGCAAGGATATTCGAATCCCCCAGCGCAGGTGTAAACTTCCCCTGAATTTCCCCAACAGTCGACTAGGTACATGCAGTGCTGCAATGTAGTTATTGGCTGGAAATTTGAATTGAAATTGAAACATTAATAAACACTTTAAAAGCATCTACAGTGTATGATAAAACCCTTCTACCTGGACAAGTACCAGGGCTTTGAAGAGTATGAAGAATGACACACTCTCTCACGGAGTGGTTGTTTTTCTGACAATACTATTAGCTCTTTGGCGTCAGTGTTCCCAAAACATTTTCCAAAGCTCATCCTGTAATCAGTCGTCTTTCAGGGGTGCTAGCTCCGCTTTAAGGTCATCAATCTGCCAATATCCAATCACCTTGTGAGTAGGGGTACACATCAATGATTATAGATGGTTCTTCCTTGACGCCAGGTTGTCTAGTTTTACCCACACTCATCCCTCCTTCTTTGGCCATCTGGTTCTGAGCAATAACTTTTGCACCTTTATTTTGACACATACATGCCTCTTTCACACACAAATAATCTTTTACAAGGACCTCTCAAGGAAGAACATAACATCAATATCTGCATTGGGCAAAACAAAAAGGCATTGTAAATCAAACAATTAAGGCCTTAGCCTTCCACATTCCTCTAATCTCATGAACATGAGACCAAAACTCGCTCTCTTTCACTCACTACCTCTAGAACAAGGAAATATAGGAGATATACACTTAACTAAAGGGTTCGACTTACTACAATATTAAATAAGATTATATATATTGCCTGACATTACTAAACCTAAACTAGAAAAGAATCAAACTTTCAATCCAGCACCCCCGGGTGTGCCCAATGCCCATTGGAGTGCCCAATACTGGCCACTCACAGCCAGTGGTGACAGGCCCCGCCCCAACCAGCTTGTGCTCTCTCTGGTGTCAGTGATATGGTCAGTGCAGGAGAGGGATCAGAGCAGAAAGTGGGGGGGAGCAGGGTACGTGCTTGCTGCTGCTGCCACCTCTTGTGTTCTTTACACATTTGCCAGTGGCAGTAGCTGCCTGGTTGCTGTCAGGAGGGTTGCAGAGGAAGTGGGGCTTTGAGGAGAGGAAGGGGACGTGGGATCAGGCAGTGCACTCAGCAGGAGTGGACAGCATGGGTCCAGTGCCAAGGTGGCAGAAGCGTATGGGCTCAATCCTGCTGTTCCAGAAGCCAGTGGCAGAACTCCCAGTTACTTCAGCAGGGCAGGATCAGGCCCTAAGGAGGCTAATGAAGTGCAGGGCTCATGTTGGTGGGTGAGCTCTCCAGTTTGTCTTCCTCCTTCGTTGCTGTTTCTCTGTTGGCAGCTGTGAGGCATCTGAGCACAGCTGTGTTCCCAGAGCAGGCTCATGCTTGTAATGCATTGGGCTCACTCGGGACTCATCCTGCTCCCTCTCCTCCCATCACGCCTGGCCTCTGGCGTATGGCACCATCTCCCAGCCTAAAATCGCCATTGCTTGGCAAGGAGGCAGAGGATGACGAGGCCCAGTGGACTTGCCAGTGAGTAATGTTCCTGTGTTGACCCTGCAAGCATAGGTTTTATTTGGCATGGAAGCCTAAAAACACAAATCTGAGTTGCTCTCGACTGAACTCTGTAGCACTTAGGCGCCATTCTTCATTCAAACCATGCATTGCCTTGGTAGTACTAGCGACAGGTGCCGACAGATGGGAAGGTGGCGGTGGGCCTCTCTCTCCTGTGCACAGAGAGGTTGCTGCGATCCCAGCTGTAGAAAGCTAGTGGCCTATGCATCATGAGTGCTAGGCAGGGGTAAGAGGCCCATGCCTTCACTAGCAGGGTGGCTGGGGTGCCATTACTCATCTAAAATTCTTTGGGGGCAAGAGCAATATCTTCATCTCTTCTGAAGCAAAATACAGGACTATGTAGCACTTTAAAGACTAACAAGATGGTTTATTAGGTGATGAGCTTTCGTGGGCCAGACCCACTTCCTCAGGTCAAATAGTGGAAGAAAATAGTCACAACCATATATACCAAAGGATACAATTTAAAAAAATGAACACATATGAAAAGGACAAATCAAATTTCAGAACAGAAGAGGGATGCGGGGGGCGGGGAGGTAAATGTCTGTGAGCTAATGATATTAGAGGTGATAATTAGGGAAGCTATCTTTGTAATGGGTAAGATAACTAGAGTCTTTAAGACCCCCGCGCAAAGTGTCGAATTTTAGCATGAATAACAGTTCAGAGGATTCCCTTTCAAGGATCAATGCCCACAAAACAGATATTAGACAGGATCACAGTTTCTTGCTATTTCAACCAGAAAGGACATTGTCTCAATGACTTAATTACCTGCATCCTGCTTCAAAAGCCTTTTAAAACTGCACTTGAAAGGGAATCCTCTGAACTGTTATTCATGCTAAAATTCGACACTTTGCGCGGGGGTCTTAAAGACTCTAGTTATCTTACCCATTACAAAGATAGCTTCCCTAATTATCACCTCTAATATCATTAGCTCACAGACATTTACCTCCCCGCCCCCCGCATCCCTCTTCTGTTCTGAAATTTGATTTGTCCTTTTCATATGTGTTCATTTTTTTAAATTGTATCCTTTGGTATATATGGTTGTGACTATTTTCTTCCACTATTTGACCTGAGGAAGTGGGTCTGGCCCACGAAAGCTCATCACCTAATAAACCATCTTGTTAGTCTTTAAAGTGCTACATAGTCCTGTATTTGCTTCAGCTACACCAGACTATCACGGCTACATCTCTATCACTATTCATTTCTTCTGTGACAGTGCAGACAGTATTCTGCTGCCATGTGTCAAAATAATGTTTTAACAGAGTAACAACCCTAATAGATAATGGGACCATTGAACAGCCCTTCTTCCGCTAACACATGCTGCACATTTGTGCTGTCTGCATTACGGCATGGAAGTTGTGTGGTTACGTTACTACAATGCACATCTCTGCATAGGATAGCGTTTCTGTATTTCATAACTGCTATGAAAGGAAACTCCACATTGTACAGAGCACTGCTGATAGGTAGTATTTTGGCCTGTTGTTAGTTTGACCTGGTACTGGGCTCTGCTTATTGCAAGTGAAACATGCAAGAGCGTTTTAAAGGCCATTCAACTTTCCCAGTAACAGTTTTATTTTCTGTGTTTTTAGAGTGGAGATCAGGTCTGGCTGGTCACCTGATCCTTTCTGACGAGGATGTGACATCTGTCATTCAGGGCACCTGGAAGCGCCTGAATACTCTTCAGCACTACAAGGTCAGAACTGAGCTTCCTTCCTCCCTTCCCCTTCTCCATACCCTTCCTGTTCCGGGGGCATGCTCCATCTCTAGATCTGACTCCTGCCTGATCCTACTGAAAGATCCTTTCCAGCCGCCCCGGGCTCTGACTTGCTGCAGTCACAGACCCGCTGTTCAGTCAGTGCATCTCCTCTGTACCCGACCGAGTCTCTCACATGTCTGATGTTACAGCCTCACTCTCTGAGCAATGGATTTGAAGGCCGCTTCTCCGTTAACCAGTCACATGTAACGTTCACCACAGTATCTGCCGTCACACTTCCTCTGCACTGCTCAGCTCCTTCTTTCCTCCTTTCTCAGTATTGCCTTTGATATAAGGATGTATAACTGGGGTGCACTAGACTGCACCTCCCTTCTGTTATTGTGAGTACACTGTGCTGCATTTCCTGCAATTGTCAGCAGGAGACAAGCTTGCTGGTTGAAGGCTACATGCCCAATGTCTTCAGAGCTGGGATTGGGCCTCTGGGAATGAAAAAATGTTTAAAATCCCTTGCCTCGAAGCACCTGACAGACATCATTGCCCCTTACAGCCCTTGTGACCATGGTATGGTCCCATACCTATGGGAAACTAAGGTATGGAGTAGTGAAGAAACTTTACCAAGCTCTGAGAGGAGTTAATAGCAGAGCCAGGAGTGGAACCCTGGGGTCCTGAGTCCAAGTCTTCTCCTGTTTTCAGGAGACCATCGTTCCTCGGGGCAGAGCTGCTGTGCTGTGTAACATCTGCCTGTCACTGTGAGAAGGAGAAATGGCAGAACAGTCCTAACCCAAGTTCTGCTTCTATGCAGGTGCCTGATGGAGCAACTGTTGCTCTGGTCCCACGTGTGACCAAACACATCCCACGGGAGACTCAGGATTACGTCCCCGGCGAGAGTGAGTCTGATGCTTGAGGCCTTAATGTACCATGCTCCTAAAATAGTGTCACCAAGCCCAGCATCCGGCAAGCCAGGACAGGGCTGTTCTCCTAGGCAATAGCCAGAGGCCCCCTAAGACCAGGAGCAGGATAAAGGGAAGCAGCTTGAACTAGAATCTTCTAGTTTGCTACTCAAAAGCTGGGTGCAGTCCAGCTAATTGACCCATGAATTAACCATCCTGGGGCAGTGGTTCTCAGTGTGGCCCATGGACCACTAGTGGCCCGTGGCTTGAGTTCAGCCCCTCCTACTTCCCCACGCATCTGGGAACTCGCGCCGGCTTCGTGCGCAGAGGGAAGGAAGTGCAAAGGCGAGGGGGATTTCCTCTCTCCTAGAGCGGGTGGGGAAGGATGGGACTCAAACAGGGAGAGGCTACAAGTGGGGCCCAGTACGGGGGTTTCCAGCCACATGGGGAAGGGGAGGCCGGGGTCAGGAGCAGGAAGGATTTCCCTGAACTGCTCAGTGGG